CTGTATAGTCAGGGAGCTCAGCGTGGGGCTCTGTGACGACCTAGAGGGGTTGGACGTGGGGAGGGGAGGGAAGGTCAAGGGCTAGGGGATACGTGTACACATACGGCTGTTTCACTTCATTGAACGGCACTGTAAAGCAGCTATGCTCCCAATAAAAATAAATAAAATGATCACACAACAGTGCCTGTACTCGCTCTAACACCGATTGTAACTCTGCGTGGAAATGAGGGTTAAGTGAGAGGAGATCATTACCAGTGACTTGGAGAGAGCCCAGCACACGGCATGTGCTCTGCACAAGCGGCTGTTAGACTGCGATGACTAAATGAGCTTTAAAAAATACCGTCTTCGGGAGGGATTGAGCTTTAAAAAGTACTTTAATTCCCATCTTCAGGAGTGATGGGAAAGTAAAAAATTCTTATGGATATAAAATCATTATATACAAAAATTATTTTGATAATATTTGGTGAGTTATAGATTGCTTTTCCCCCAGAATATAATAAGCTGTTATAGAGAGAATAAAAAAGCACCTTCAGGTTAAATAAACTTTATATGTACATATGTAGATGCCTAACAGAGTCGTATATCTCAGCAGTTCAAGTAAAACTACCTGCCAGCCTGTATTTGCTCTTTAATACATTTGTTCTGAAACCAAACTTCAAGTGCGTGTCGGAGACAACATAATAAACATCCTCTGGGTTTCAAGCCATTAGTGTGCAATTTCAGGCAATTTTCACCGAGGGCAGGATTCATAGGCATCTCCCTGGGGGGAGAACACTGACTCTAAGAAGGAAAGATGAAAAGCCACATTAGTCACTTTTTGAAAAGACGGAAGCTTTGTAGATGCGATTTCTATGTAGATTTTAAAGCTAGCCCGGTGTCTCACCATCCTTTGCCTACTTCCAGTTTGTGAGCAGGCATTTGGATGGTGGTCCTGAGGTTGGTACATTTTGCCCTCTTCCCAGCAAGAAAGTGTTTATGTTTTTTGTTTTTTTTTTTTTAACCTTAGACCTTGGCCTCTTGATGGAATTTAAGGTCCCCACAAACATCTACTTTATTACTGGAGGATATTTTAGGCTCTGCAGGTAATTTTCTTTAGAGTATGACTTAGCAGTGCTGTTGGTCAGAGCTGACTTGTATTGAGAGATATGAGATCCAGGACAAATGGTAGCAGTGGATTGCTGTGAATTCTTGCTTCTCTGAAGCTCTGTTTCCTTTTCTCTCAATCTCACTTTCTTTGGGGCCGGGGTGCGTAGCCTTTGCGTACTCTTTTCTCAGAGCAGCTTAGTTGCTATTAGCAAATACCTGTTTAATTTTAAGGTTTGAAACTTGCCCCTAACACCTTGGTGAAAAGGAATGGAAAGCTGTTAACATTTCTCATACTTGAAGGAAATATCAGTATTGAAAGAAGATACTCTTTCTTGTAATTTCATTTGAAATAATAGTTCTCTAATTCTGTATACTATGGATATAATCAGTTAAACCTGATGAAATCCCCCCCCCCCCC